ATGAGGCCCTCCCCTTCTTACCAAGACACTGTTTACACCTCCATGCCTTTGTGCTGTTCTCTTTATTAGAGCTTCCTTCTGTACTCTTTTCCGTGCTAGTCTTCCTCATTCTTCAAGATTTAACACACACATTTTTTTTCTGACAAACCTTTCTTTGTAACTCCAGAGTGGGAACTGAGGGAGTTTGTGGTTTTTGCTCACATCGATCTTTGTGCATAGCTCTCTGCTTATCATAGTACATTGAAATGATCTGATTATGTGTTCTTTTCCCATTAAAAATGTGTGCTTTACAAAGACAAGGACTGTATTTTGTTTATCTCCAAGCACTTAGCATCAGACTTGGCAGCCTACTCAGTAAGTGTGTGTCAAACTGAACCATTGTGTTTCTAGAACCTTCTGACCATGTGATCCATTCATTGGTTCATGAGTAGAGGTCTACTTTGATTACCAGACAAACGGGAGAACTGGAATACTTACCAAGCCAATAGAGATTAGCTGGTGGTTGTCTACATATTCAACTGAATCAAAATCTCTGTTTCAAAAGTCATTTTAACATCTCCTGTGTTGCTAGCATCATAATAGGCATTACAAGCATCCACTAATGACCAGGCAGACCACCTGTCCTCAAAAGATTTGTTCTCTAGAGAAATAAAGCTAAATCTAGATGCTGCAAGAAAAGTCACAGCCTTGGGGTTTCAGTGAGAAGACAGACCAAATGCTTTTGAAGTAGTCAGAAAAGACGATAGGGTAAGAGATACTCCAAATGCCATTGGAAAATGGCTAAGACTTTGAAAAATAGAGATAGGGAAGAGGTAAACAGGAAGTGGGAGATGATGTTTTCTAGCCAAAGGAATATCACAGGAAAAGACATAGAAACGCCCTGAGTATAGTTAGGTAACATGAGCACTCCCGATAGTTCACAATCTCACTCCAATGTGACTCATCTTCCATCCATTACCCGCACCTCCAGCCTCCAGCCACCTTAACTCCTTTCTCTGGCCTAATGGTTCACAATAGAGCGATCAACAGAACTATTGCTGGGCCCCATGCCCAGATTTCAGATTCAGTAGTTTAAGTGATGCTGTGATCTGGGCCACTTTTGAGAACTGCTGCAAAACTTCCCTTTTAACACCATCACGGCAAATACCTGAAGGCATACTCCCCACTCCCACCCCAGACACCTTAGCAGATGAGTTTCAGAACTCACTCAGAGCCTTGGGTACTTCGCATCTGGAGGAACAACTGTCCCTGGAAACCACAGCCAACCGTCCATTGGCAAAGTGGCCACCACCATTTCAGTTGCAGAGCAAGGCAGTGCTTTCCCATCATCCTGGCAAATGAAAGACTAACTTAGACCATCTGGTTCTGTAACACCCTCCTACACCACTGCTTAAAAGCAACCGAACATATTTTCTCTTACATTTTGTCAATAAAATATTGCTCCCCCAGGCTGTTGGCTTACCACATTTGCAGCCCTTAAGCAAAGTGGGAGGAGTTAGTGGTGGCACCAAGAGGACAGCCATGGGCAGAGCCCCTCAGCCTTTTGCTGTTGACTCTCCACTACCCCCTCTTCTTGGGGACAGATCCTTAAACTGATGCCTCAAAATATTTTTTAAAAGCGCAACCAAATATATATGAAGACCTTTCCTGGCTGCTGTGCCCTTTCTGTCCTGTTAATTTTGCTTGGCTTTAAGGGAGTGAAGAATCAATGTCTAGCATTTCCAACGGCCAGGTAGAGTGTGTACACATTTATTAAGATTAATTAAAAAGTAACAAATTGTAAAGTAATAACATTAACAACCAGAAGAAAAAGTGTAGACATTTTGACAGTCTTTTTGAATTTCATTAAAAGATGGTAGTGACAAAAACCCCAGAGACTATTTCTACTTTACTAAAGAAATAGGTCACAGATTCAATTACAGTCACTGAAGCATGGACTCAATCTATCATGGCAAATTAAGTACATTTTAGCAACCTACTTTCCTTTAAAAATTTTATAGACACTTTCGGTGGAAGAAGAAAGACTATAGAAAAAAAAAAAAAAGAAATTGCAAAACCAAGTACCACCCTACTCCCCCCCTAGGCTTTGAGTAAGCATTTGGCTTATTTGCTTTGGGTATAAGACAGAAAATCATTAAGAAATACTCAGTGTGCTCACAATTATTACTCTTCACTCTTTCATGGTTTAATGATGCAGATTTGGAATTGGGAGTGGGAAATGGCTCCAAATTAGAATCGCTAAGTCTTCAAAGTAGGGCTTTGTTCTCCAGGCGGGGCCCCACCCCCTGCTTTTAAAACAGGACTATTTGTACTCGATAGCTTTTATCCTTTTTTTTTTTTTTTTTTTTTTGGCCTTTGAGTCTCAGCAGACCCATTGAGTTCATTTCTGGAAAGATAAACAAATAAATAAATAAGACTTGTGTGGCCTGTGGACATATGGTTTAGCAAAGTGCTGGTACTGGGAGAAGGAAACACCATCTTGCCCATAACAAAACTGGTTTCATGTTGACAACTGATGTTTAGGAAGGGCCTCTTGCCCAGCAGCGAGCAGGGACCATCTTCGAGACACGGAGCCACAGTAACCACCAAGCGTGAAGGACTGAGATCCTTATGTGTGCCCTTTGACAAATAAGAACCCGGGGCTGCTTATGGCCTTCAAAACCCAGGGCAGGAGTCTTAGGAATCTGTTGATTGGCCTGGCCAGGAAGCTTCAGGAGCCCAGGTATAGGTCTTACTCCTCAATGACATGGCCAGCAAATCCCCTGTCCGGTCAGTGCTGGGAGTGCTTAATCCATGGCAGCGCCACCTTTTCTCTTACAGCTCTTCCTGGTCTTTTCCCAGTGCCTCTGTGTAATGGGCACAAAGAAGTAAGCAATTGCATGTGCTCCCCAGAGAAGCATTATAGTGCTTCATGCATCTCTAAATTATCTTGCTATTGCCCAATTAAATCAGAACCTCTCATCGGCCAGGCTGAAGGCTAAATTTACTGATTGAATCTCAGTAGAACTAACTGGTAGAACTAAATTTTTAATTTGAATTGCGAAATTGCAACTCCCTTAGAGATGAGGTTTCACAGCAGCTAGTACTCTCCAAAATATTGCAAATACAGGGGTATTCACAGTCTACTTGCTTGGTAGTATCTCTCTTCATAGATAGGTAAATGATAGAGATAGATAGATAGGTGATAGTTAGATTTAGAGATAGATAGAGATAGAGACAGATAAAAATAGAGATAGAGATAAAACTGAGTCAAGAGCTACCAGGTCTTCTTACAGTACCAGCTCTTTGAAACTACAGAGTTGGTATGTCTACCTGTGTGCTCTTTAACTCCCATCTGTGAGACTATTCCTGGAAAGGGACAACAATGAGGTTGGGGATGACTCATGAGACCAGAAAGTCTAAAGACTGGCAGTAAACTGAGGCTGCAGGTTCTCCATATAAAGATGGTGAACTCACATTGGTACTCACGTGCAGTAGCTATACTTGTCCTGAATAGATGAGGGGACAAAAAAAGATGCGTATTTAGGTGGCTGCCTAGCCTCCCACTTAGTTTAAGATGGTGTGATACGTACATTTCCTCTATTTATCCTTCAGCTAACTTGATACAGTAGCAAACCCTATTGCTGCTTCTGAGTTTAAACCTGTACTACTGACGTCTTGGTGAAAAAAAAACCAACAACTAAATATACCTAAATATATTTATAAATGTGTAATATATTCAGTAATGTTTAGCACATAATAATTTTATATGCTAAATACAATTTTATACTGTATTATGAATTACACTCAGTGCAGCACGATGGTCATACTGTGAAAGGCCCCTGGGAACTGAGACCAAAGGAAGAGTTGTTCCTACCTCAAGTTCACTGGCCAAGTGTAGAAAATGCCTGCAGGATTTAAAGAAAGGTCCTGTCCTCAAGCATTCTGGTTTAGCTGTTCCAGAGTGGGCCAAGTTTTGGTAGTTGTTTTTTAAGCTTTGTCAGGTGATTCTAATATATAGCATGGTCTAGTATCATTGATTTAAATTTTCTTTCTCTTTCTGTATTCGCTGAATTTGCATAATTTAAAATGACTTTCAGTGTGACTCCCTTATGCTGCTCTCTCCTGCCATTTGGGGAACAGCCAACTTCCAAGACCAACCTTGTTTCTGGAGAAGGATTCTTCCCACATGGGAAAGGCAAGGATGGTGCTGAGCCTGGCAAGTCTCTGCTCGGGGCCTTTGACTATGCCTGAACACACATTTGCTAAAACTGACAAAGTAAGACAGGAGGTGGGGCTGCCCAGAAGGACAAGTGTTTCGCTTTGTAGCCTTCGAAATGATTTTAAACCCCTGAGATCAATGCTGGTAAGATGGATATTTCAGATCAATGCTGGGCAGTATGAAGCCAGAAACTGGTCGGAAAACCTCTGGAAATACGTGAGATACAGCTCAAAACTCTAGATAAAATCCATCTTTCTCTTGTTTGAGTTTTTAAAAGGTAGAATCAGATGGTGCACTAGGCTTGGTGTCCTTGGGAGATGGCCTAGCATAATGGTTAGGATTACAGACACAGAAGCTAATTTGTCTGTGTTGAATACTCACTCTGCCATTCGCTAAGTGATTTGGGGCAGGATACTTAATTCCCATGTGCCTCACCTTCCTCATCTGCAAGATGGGGACACTAATCACACCTAACTCATAGGGTAATTCTGAGGATTAAATTATGTAGTGCATGTAAACTGCTGAGTCTGGTGCTTGACACACATTATGTGCTGAAGAAATACAGCCATTGTTCTATGTATTATCAGAGGCGTTATGCAGGGTAACTAATTGCTGGATGATTCATTCTATGTCTTTAGTTACATTTTCTTTCCCTAGCTTACATAATAGAATAAAGGATATATTTTCAGAAAAAAGATATTGATGTCCACCCCTGGTGGATCATCAGTGAGGCAGTATAGGAAAGAGGGCTTGGAACTGGAAGCCTTGTACCTTTCAGCTACCTGTGGGTGACTTTGGGTCAAGCCCTTGGCATTGTTTGAATCCAAGTTTTATTAAGTTCAAACATAGGGTTTATTTTCATTGCATCCTTTACTGAGATTTTCACTAGGTCCTTATGAAAAATTATTCATGTTTATGTCACAGTTTACAGAGAACTTATAAATCATTGCATTTAAGCCTCATGCTAACATGTTGAAAAATACACTATTATCCCCAATTTACAAATGAAGAAATGGAAGTCAAGACTTTTCCCAAGGCCACCAAACTGGTTAAGTGGCAAGTACTTAAGGCTCGCAAGTTCAGTGATGTTTCTAATAGACTGTAAGTGCACCATTTTAGATAAATGGCATATGGCAACATGCCTAGGAAATTATAGTGTGCAATATAAGTGGTATGTATTATCATTATTTGGGGACTTTCCCTTTGATATTATGTAAAGAGAAAGGTAGCACAGAAATAACAAGCCTTAGGTATTATAGTCAGTCACTCATCATTCATTAGCAGTAAAGTTGGTGCCCAGTGACTGAATCCCTATTCCCAGTGTTGATTTAGGACAGACATCATACTATTGATGCCTTTTATCATTTACCCTTCTTTCCTTTGCTGATTTTCACTTCAAGGTGATACACTGCTGACCTATTAAACAGTGATCTTTGTCCACATGAAAATTAATTAGCTGATAATTGTCTGGAAGATAGAACAGTGACTAAGAGTTTGGAAAGTAGAAGGAAGTTCTCTAGGAAGTAAACTAACCAGAGTTTTTTTGGTTGAGTTATTTCCTTCCATCTGAGTCTCATTCTGTCTGCCCCTACTCCTGCTCCCTGAGAAGCTCAAATATCTCTTGATGAACTTGGCATAATAACCACACACAGCTGGATGGCAATATGGCTTGAGAAGGAGTGTACTCACAGCCTGTAATGTTAGATGAGCTTCAATTTGTTCAAACTACTTGCTGTGTCAGTCTGACTCCAGGCATCAGTGTGAAAAATGGGAAATTTAGTTACCTATATAGATAGTAATAGCCACATTCATACCTTGAAATGTTGTAATATTTTTGAAGTTACAATGCACACACGTTTCAGGCGATTGTTGCCACCGTTTGGTGAAATAGGCAGGTGTTTTCTTCTTATTATAGAGTAAACAAATCTCAGACCTGGGGAAATTTTTGACTGGTCCTGTTTTACAGGGGCAGACTCATGTCTTTACTAACTCTGCCTTTTTGTGTGGACACTAATCTTTTGCCTACCCAGGACAACCACTACCAGGACAAAGTATTCTTTTATTTTGTAAAACTAGGCCCTTTTTTGGGGGTGGAGCTCCTATATTCCCAACTATACATATTTGTTTACAGTTACAATGCATTGATCAGATCTTATACCCTGGACATGATTGATTGATAAAGGGTTGGACATCCAACCCAATGTAGGCCAATCTCTTCCCAAAATTTTTCAAATTGGAAATAGGAGACAGAAGTTTACAGCCATGGAAGCTTAGACAGCCGTGTTTTTCACTGTGTTGAGAAAGCTGGTTTGCATGGAAAGAATGAAGCCAGCAAGCAGAGAAACAGAGTTGGGGAAAAGAGAGAATCTGGGTGGCGTTGGAGTCCCTGGTACCAGCTATTCCTAAGACTGTGTCCGTTGGGAAAATTATCCTTCAATAAGGGTTTGTAAGAGTTTTTTCTCTCAGATTCAGCTCTATCATAAAGTGGTGACAGGCATTGCATTTCAGAACCTTTAGCAAACACTTTAACAAAGTGTGGCAACATTTTCGACTTTTATTAGAGAGTTCTTAATAGTTTCTTGTGTAAATGAGGCCAATTAGCCAATCCTGAAAACAGGCATATGGATCCATGTATACTATTTGGGTTGTGCAAGAAGTTCAAAGTGTACTATGTGGAATGCATTAGGCGAACATCTGAGAGATTTGAGATTAATGAAGTGGGAAAATAGGAGGTTGGTGCAAGGAAGCTATATGTAATTGACATCCACTCATTTGTTAAGGTCAATGTAGAACCTGTTTTTTGGTAGATATGTCTTTTTTTTTTTTCTACAGCATCTTAAAAACTATGCATAAAATTCTCAGCAATATAATTCTTACATTTGTGAGCATTTACATTAACAACGCCTTTTATGCACATTCTTGCCTTTACTTGTCACAAAACCTTGTGAGATAGGGAGGTCCTATCACTCCAAATGCTTGTAGTAATGAGGACAGAGGGGCTTGAAAAAATTAGTGGTTGAGGAGACAGAATGCCCTCGGAGGTTTTATTGGATAGTACTTCTTGACGGTGTTTATATAAAGGATCTAGCAAGTTTTCAACCTAAGTGGATGTTTTTGTTCTTGGTATTTTTTCCCACCTCTTAACACTTGCCTGCTCTAAATGTCTGAATTCTCCAGGGTTACTGAGCAATCCTCTGCTTTTTAGGCACCAAGTGTAGCTCGTGTAATATCTATGAATTTAGTTTTTAAGTTTTCTAAAGCTAATGCCTAAGGCCTTCTTCAGAATATTTTACAATGGTTTATTGCTTTTTAAAAATAATTGTGTATCAACCAGGATTGGCCTAGGACTCTCATAAATTTTTATAAACTTAAAAGAGACGATGTTTTATAATTTGTTAAACTCCAAAAAATATAGGTATATTTTATGATCTCCCCATTTTTTCCTTCTCCTGGCTTTTTTTTTTGTATAATGCACAGCTCTCCCACTCTTAGCAAGGAGAGTTTGAGTGCAATTGGCTTCAGCATAGGAATTCTGATTGGGTTAAGGCAATAAGCCACGCCTATCTTCCCAGCTGAGATTGGTTCAGGGATGGACCCTTAACCCCGTCTGAGCCAAGGAGAGGGTGAGTCACAGGCGAGGGAACTTCAGGAAGAGGCATTCTTTTCTCCAGAACAATGTGATTCAGTGAGACCCTGTGAGACACGGACCTATTTGCAAATAGGTCATAGGTAGAATAATAAAACTCTAGTTTCATAATTATTTTATATAGGGCCTGATTTAATGCATTGTGGAATATTCCACTGAATGAAATCATCTTGCAGACTGTAAGCAGCAGACTAAGATATTAAGAACTAGAATTTGTACACCGTGATTGATTATATTACAATAATTTAGTTCAAAGTAGACATCATTATATCTCATCTAGAATTTCCTTCTAATGTGAGGAAATGTTTCTGCATGGTAAATTTGGTCAATTTTGCAGCACCTGTTTCTGAGTCAGAGACCCTTACAACTCCCTGCGGCTGGAATGCTGGGGGTTCTGGAAGCTGGGCAGCACCCCTTTGACTCTAATATGGAGTGGACATGTGCCCTAGGGTTTCCCCTCCAGTCTAACTGTTGTCTATCCCAGGCCTACTGTTTTCAGGAAATGCTATACAGTTGCATAAACAAGTTCAAAACCAGCTCCATTTTTCTGGTTGACCGAATAGTGCTGTTTAACATGGAAAAGACATTTACTGGTGAGTCCTCCTTTGTAGTTAAATTCATTCCGATTGCCCCATCTTGTGGAAGAAAGAAAAATAGCCAGATTCTTCTCTTTGGGTATATACTGTAAAAGAAAAAATTCAACCCATTTATCTCTCTCTTTGTCTACAAGCTCTTCTCTTTCACATGATACATTCCAAATACATTATTCTGAAGAAAGGCCTGTAGTCCTCACATATTTGCAACCTGATCCCCTTTCTTTACTGATACAAGACCAGTATGCGATGGTTGCATTCAGAAGTGCTAGACAGAAATTCATTGCTGCAGGGGAGAACTCAAGCTCTGCCACCAGAATGTAGGCCCAAGTCAGAATCCATTTGTGCAGGTCAATCTCTCAACCTGCTGAGTTATTCTCAGAATCCTGGAACAATAGTGATCACTCTATTTCCAGGTATTTGAGATACTCTCCTCTTCTTAAGCCAGTCTGCCTTGTATTCACTCACTGGTACATCGTTGTCTATTCAGAGGAAGAGTAGACGGAATCAATTCACATATTTGTTCATTCACCAATCTACTTATTTATCCATTCATTCACCTTTTAACTTTTTTTTTTTAACTTAACATTTATGTATTGAGAATCTTCCATATGCCGTGTACCATGCTAGGTACTAGGGAAACAGTAATGGGCAAAAAAGTCACATAATCTACCTTTATGGAATTGGCACTTTTATTGGAGCTGGGTGCAGATATTAATTAAACAATCAGACACATATATAATTGAAAGTTGTGATAAGTCTATGGAGGGTACTGTGGGACCATAAAAGAAAGACCTAATGTATGGAGCCTGACTTTTCAGGATAAAGGGGCATTTGAGCTGAGATCTGAAGAGTAGACACTCAAGGAGAGACAGGGGCGTGTGGCAAGAGCATTACAAGCAGAGCCTGTGAGCTGGGAAGAATGCAGTGACTGCAGTGGAGAGAAAGGAGACAGAGTGGCTCCCAAGAAAGCTATAGAATCAGTCAGGAACCAGATTATGTTGGGCTTTGAGGACATATTAGGAGTTTGGCCATCTGACCACATGGTTTGCAAATAGAAAGCACTGTTCTTTCATCAAACAAGGCTGATTTAGTCTGACCTTCCTTTGTTCTGGCTCACAACAGTTGTGAAAAAGGAGTCAAACCAGTGCTTTCTGGGTGTCCCTATCTCCTTCTGGGCCAGCAAAATGCGATAGGTTCCACTATTTATCCTGTGCCCATCCTCTGCAACCTTTGAATCACAGCTACATCTTGATAAGTTGTTGTGTAATTTCTCAAATTACAGTTTCTTTGTGGGGAACGCCTACGATTTACCTAGCACCTAAGGGTGTTTGTTTGTGGGTACAAATGACTGTTGATTCTGTCTCTAAGCGACAAAGAACAGCTTGCCTCTGCAAGCAGTCAGCCTGAAAGTTGCACAACACTGACATCTGCTGCTTGTATGCAGTCTGAGATTGTACCAGGTCAGAAAGAGGAAATGTAGTAAAACTAAATGTTTGAAAACGTTGGGCAAACGCGCGCGCACACACACACTCACACACACACACACACAGGTGTGCACACACAGCTCCTCTGCAACCTTTGCTCTTGTACTTCTGATTTTTCAATAATATACAAGAATAGAAGGCTAATTTCAACATGATGTTTTCTTACTGTCAATATTTGCCAATTGGACGAGGTGTTCACATGATGGAAGATGAAGTTTCTGCTTGGCTTTGGAGGAAAAACAATTGACAAAAACCTAGATCAATGTTTTCACTTTGCAAATATTAATACAAGGCATAGAAATAAATGAAAAAAGGTATCAACTTTCATCATAAAAGCAGCTTAATGATAGTGATTTTGTGGATGACACATAATAT